TGGGGCTAAACAGGCAACAATGTAGAATCGGTGGGTGGGGCTAAACAGGCAACAATGTAGAATTGGTGGGTGGGGCTAAACAGGCAATGACGTATAATTGGTGGGCGGGGCTAAACAGGCAACGACGTAGAGTTTGTGGGCGGGGCTAAACAGGCAGCGATGTACAATCGGTGGGTGGGGCTAAACAGGCAACAATGTAGAATTGGTGGGTGGGGCTAAACAGCCAGCCATGTAGAAGCAGGCATTTATCTTCTGCTTAGGTGGTGCTTATCCACACTATTACATCATAGAGTTGTACATTTCACAAGCTGTCGTTTGGCAGACTGCCTTCAATATAAGCTGTTTTTAGACTAATGATAAAGTTTTGAGTTCTGAAACTTGCAGGATGTTTTTATAGTACAACAATGTAGAATTGGTGGGCAGGGCTAAACCTCTTATTTGTCAAAAGATCAAAGGAATTTTGGTTTCTCAGTTCATGACCCCTTTAAGTATATTCTTATTCTGTAATAAGTACTGCTTTTCAATGTGCACTAAAGTATATTTCTTTTGGACAAGGCATCCATATCTCAATACTTATCCTATTGCTGATTCATATCATTGTGCTGTGAGTAATGTTTTTTTTTTCCTTTCCAGAGATATACTGTAAGTGGTGCTGAGTTTCAACGGGACATTCTAGGGTTCTGTGGATTACCTGTTGTGTATTGTTGGGTGTGTATGGAAGCATGGTGGAGACATGGAACATAATCTCGTAATCCTGGTAGCGAGTATACAGTGAGTGTGTACCGGTGGAGTCAGCTGCAATTAAATTTAAAACAAACAAACAAACAAAAAGCATTAAAAACAGTAATATTGTGAAATATTATTACCATTTAAATATATAGTAAAATGTAATTTATTTTTGTGATGCAAAGCTGAATTTTCAGCATCATTACTCCAGTCTTCAGTGTCACATGATCTTCAGAAATCATTCTAATATGCTGATTTCCTGCTCAAATCAGCATAAAAACGGATTATTATCAATGTTGAAAGCAGTTGTTCTGCTTCATATTTTTGTGAAAACTGTGATAGATGTTTTTCCAGAATTATTTAATGAATAGAAAGTTCAAAAGAACATCATTTCTTATAAACATAATTTTTGTAACACTGTAAAATCTTTACTGTCACTTTCAATCAATCAATCTAATACATTCTTGCTGAAAAGAAAGTTTTTAATTTCTTTACAACACAAAATATTACTGATCCCAGACTTTTGAACAGTTTATGTGCCATCACCTAAATGTGAATTTACATTTATCTTTTTGTGGAACAACTATAAAAAAGAAAAATAAATTTCGCAATTACATTCTACTTACATACAACACATGCAATAACACTACTACTACTGTACTATAGTGCAGTTATATGAAGACTGACTGCATGTTGATTTTTGGTCTCACTTTTGGTGTCTAGTTGAGCTCTGTATTTCTCCCAGTCCTTGAGTCGCACTCGCTCTCCAAGAAGGTCCAGAAACTCATCAAATTCTGGTCCGGCGCTCTCATTGTTATACATGTCCTCTTCAGTACTCTGTCCTGCTCTGCAGTACATAATGCCCACCTTATGCTGGAAATTCAACTTCACACATATAAAACACACATTAACAAGGACGAAATTACAGCTACTTCTCCAACTTGATTTTTACGCACACAACATCATTCTTCCTCATTGTAATTAAGCCAGTTTCACATTGCATGCAACAGTGTAAGAGGAGCAAATGCGTAACTACAAAAGCAGGCATATACAGTCAGGTCCATATTTGGACACAGGCACACTTTTATTATTTTAGCTGCTGACCTAAACATATTCAAGTTACAATTATATAATGAATATGGACTTAAAGTGCACTCTGATCTTTAATTTGAGGGTATTCTCATCACAATTGGAGGAAATGTTAAGGAATTACAGCTCTTTAATATGTACCCCACCCCCCTTTTTCAAGACACCTCAAGTAATTGGACAGTTGACTCAACAGCCATTTCATAGACAGATGTGAACTATTCCTTCGCTATTTCTACATCAATTACGCAGGTAAAAGATCCGGAGCTGATTCTAAGTGTGTCATTTGCATTTGGAAGCTGTTGCTGTGAATCCACATCATGTGGTCAAAGGAGCTATCTATGCAAGTGAAACAAGGCTTCAAAAACAAAACAAATCCATCAGAGATATAGCAGGAACATTAGGAGTGGCCAAATCAACAGTTTGGTACATTCTAGAGAAGAACACTCTCCAGGAGGTAGACGTGTCACAGTCAAAGTCAACAATCAAGAGAAGACTTCACCAGAGCAAATACAGAAGGTTCACCACAAGGTGCAAACAAGGCCAGATTAGACAAAAAAACATCTAAAAAGCCAGACCACTTCTGGAAAAGCATTGGCTGAAATTAAGATCAACCTGTACCAGAATGACGAGAAGAAAAAAACTATGGAGAAGGCTTGGAACAGCTCATGATCCAAAGCATACAACATCATCCTCAGTGAAACATGGAGCAGTGTGATGCATGAGCGTGCATGGCTTCCAGTGGCACTGGGTTACTGGTGTTTAGTGATGATGAGACAGAAGACAGAAGCAGCCGGATGAATTCTGAAGTGTATAGAGATATACTCTCTGCCCAGATTCAGTCATATGCAGCAAAGTTGATTGGGCGGACGCTTCATAGTACAAATAGACGATGAACCAAAACATACAGAAAAAGCAACCCAGGAGTTTTTGAAGGTAAAAAAG